TTCTTAAACAATATTGTTTTATATTTTGTCTGGTCTATTTGCTTGGACAGATCTCAACTTTCTTCACAACAAAAGGAAAGAAAAACAGAGCTGTTTTCTTTCTCATTAGACATAGATGAAGCAAATGATACAAAATCCAATATATAATAAATTGAAATGAAAGGTCCTATTTGGTGTCCAGGCATTTAACAGGATAACCATGAAAAAATTTGAAGCAAAGCTTGCCGTATAAAAACATAAAATACAAGTATTGTCATAAATGGTTCTAACTTGCCCCAAACGAGGGGAAAATATCTTAGTCATTCAGATTGGTGGCTCATATGCACAAGAATTGTTTACTCTATTTACCTCTATATTTTGGGCTAAAAAACATATGTAATCACATAATACTGTTCATGATTTTATGATGATTTTCCTTCAACTCGATTCATGCTTTTTTCTTTTTTTTTTAATCTCACAATAATATCTTTTTCTTCTATTTATTTTTCAGTGATTAGTTCCATGAATAGTTTCCTTTTAATTCTCTACATAGAGAGATGCCTGAGAGATATTGAATCAAATTATGGGTTGTCCTATGTCTTTGTGGCTCTATCTCTACTATTTTTGTTCAATGGCTTTGGTTATCTTATCTTCTTTTGACTTCACTTTCCTCAATTTCAGAAGCCATTCTTTGTTGCGTGTTTGGAAATCCAATTTTTAAAAAGAAATCTAAAAAATAAGAATTGTGGAATTATATTGAATAAATAATCTTTTTATAAGTTTTGCCTGAAGTGAAAATTTTTAGTTGATTTATATAATCTTTTTCTTTTCCACACAAACATCATTATGATCATTGAAATGAGTTTATGCCTATGCCATAATTAATTCTTCACCTTGTTTGCTAAATTTATGATTCTGAATCATTTTTTGGTAGACATGTAAATTTAAATAGGTCAATTTGTTGAAAGTTATGTTTTACATTTACATCACTATTATTTAGACCCTCATTAAAATTTCAAATTGAGAATAATACTTGAAATATGTGTATATATATATATATATGTTGAAGTACTGTAAGTGTCCAATCATTATCATAGTTGTTTAATCGAGATAAAAGTTTTTTTTCGCAACATAAAAACGATTTTATGTTTACCAGTTAACCCCGTAGTTTTTAGTTTGTTCAATAAATAATACCATCTGAAAATTAATTTTATCTAAAATTGAATTTGATTTCACAAAAAAAAATTAAATATGTGAATTTTCAATGCCTATTTTCTTTGACAATGTAGGATTTACAAATCGCAAAATCCAATAATCAAAAGCTATAAAATACAAGTGACATATATATATTGACTATGAAATTAGTTATTATATATATGAACATTTGCCTTTGAATATTAAAACTTTGAGCATCATTGAGCTAATAAAATTCTTTCGGTCTTATAACCTCTCATTAATTGTCATTTGCCAACACTGCACTGCACCAAACCAAAATTTTTAAGATATAAAAATTTGCAACTTCATAATTGGGGTCCAAAAGTTTTACAACCTTTTCTCTTTTTATTTTGCAACTTCAGCTTTTTTAGTTAAATATTAAATTCAATATGATCAGCAAATGCCAATATTGAGGGAAAACTCATTTATGAGAGAGCCAAAGGTGCAATTGGCTTTTATACTTCCTGTACACTATCCTAATTCTGAAATTGAGGAACCATATGTTATCAATAGTTTCAAAAGTTATCTTATTGTTGACTTGTTGTCTTTACACAAGTTTCTTATATTTTGAGAGAGTGAATTAGGGAAAAGAAAGTTTCAAGTGAGTCTATATTCTTTTTTTTTCTGGCCTTTTTTTAATATTAAAAAATAAATAATTTTTAGATATTTAGATATTTATAAAATTGATTTATCTTTGAAATTTTATAAAAATAATTTATTGTTTTATTTTGGTTAAAATAAAAAATAGTTGTTATTTAGTTATTTTTAGATTTTAATATCTTTGTGGATCTTTATTTGTAAAAATAATTTATTTGTTTATTTATTTTAAAATTTATAATATCTTAATATATTTCCACGTTTTTTGGTCATTTTCACGTAGCTACTGTATCATATTATTTTAAGAAGCTATACAAAGCAGACTAATTAGAAAAATATTTTTTTGTTTTAGAATTGTAATTATTTTAAAAATTTTAAATAAATATTATAAAATTTCACAAAATATATTTTTGTCAAAAACATAAGTGATTTTTTTGAAAAAAAAGCTTAAGAGCCCATTTGTTTCAGCTTTTTTATGAAAAATAACTTATTATTTGCAAAAAATCTAATTTATGAGTTTTTGTGGTTCTTTTTACATTTTGAAAATGATTAGAATAAAAATTTATATTTATTATTATTATTATTTTAAAAAAACTACTTTAAGTAGCTTCTAAAAATAACATGATATTGTAGATGAGAGGGAATGCTTTAAAATTCTAGATATATGAATATATCCTAAATTTTTGAAATAATTTAATGATCAATTATTTTATAAAATAAAAGTCAAAGAAGAAATCATAAAATTTAAAACAACTAACTAATAATCACTTTTTTATTATTGTAACCGAACACAAAAATAATTTTTTTCTTTTTATACAATCTCTATAAAATAAATCTCTTATAAAATCTCTAAACTATTTAAAAATCACTTATTTTGAATCTTAAACAAAGGGGCCGTAAATAAATTGGCCTTTAATGTCATTTTGTTTGGAAAACAACTCCACATCCTGTAAATAAAATAAATTAAATGAAGTAATAACTGAGTGGTAGGGCTCTCATCACTGAAAAAATGGTTAGAGGTTTGAATTCCAACTCTTGTGCATGGAGCAACTTACTTACAAGAGGTCTACCTTTTCTCCTTATTATCTCGGGAGAGATAATATTTGCAATCAGCGAAGCCTTCTCTTTGTGTTAGAAAATTAAGAAAGAAATAAATAGAGGGAGAGTGGAGGAAAGAGACTTTTATTTTTTTTTTTCATTTTTATGTAAATGAAATTAATTTTCTAACTAACTAACTAATTATATTATATTCATAAAAGATAAAAAAAAGTAAATAGCCTTTAAGAAACTTGTTTTAAGAAAAATAACAAATTAAATAAGCAAAAGCTCAATACCCCACGCGTTACTACCCACTTTAAGTGATTTTTATATGCGCCATTTTAAATAAATATATTTAATTGTCCATTTTCATTTTCCATTTGTGTTTTTTTACTATATTGTTGGAGATATTCCTAAAAAAAATCTGCGGAGATCATGGAAATTTTAAAATTATGATCTTGGATACTAAAAATTGTGATGCCATATAGTATTCTATTCCATGCTACGATCTCTCCCACTCTCACCTCTGTATTAAACACTTGATTAGTTTAGCTAACAACTAGATCTTGTTGTCACACAATGTACATCATCATCATCATCATCGAGCATTACATTTGTACCATATGCTATGCCATAACATAATATTGGGATGTTGGACTTGGGCTGAGATATAACGCCAACGAACATTATTTTTGTAATAATTATTTCTTTCTTCTAGAATCATTCCATTAGTTAAAAATGATAAAACTGGAATCTTTGGATTTTTAACAAGGTGAACAACGTAATAACATTCTTAAAGTGTGGTAAAATATTGCAAATATTTTATATAAGAATATGAGGAAGTATGTTATTATTGTTGCGCTAAAGGCTCTCACTATAGATTTAGATTTGTGAGTAAAAAGTTTTTTCAAATAATGTCTTTTGCATTGGATTAATTCTTTAACTGTTGTTGATAACTAGTGGTAGTTAGAACATGTTATAGTAGCTGTTTACTCTAGAAAGCCAGCTTTACCGGGGGAGATCTAAGAAAGAGCAATCGTGCAGTAATGAGGTTGAATGCATTATCACTCAACGTTGGAGTGTGCTTCAATGGAATTAGACAATTAATGTTTTAACTAATGTGTCCCTAATGTGTCAATCTTCTTTCAGGCCATATGCCCAAAAGCATCGCAAACTTGACTATGCTTCAACGGTTAACTATGCATTCCAATAACTTGAAAGGTATTCATCCAACAAATCATAGTATTATGTTGTTGTGTTTATTTTATCTGTTGTTAAATTACAAGAAATGTTCATAATAAAATTGGTGATCTTACAAACCTAAACTTTGAAGATATGTTTTAATAGCTTAATAAATTATATGTAATTAAATTCTTTTAGTTTTTAATTTGTTTGTTAACGCTAAAAATATATTTCATAAGAGATTGTGATAGTTGAAATTGAGAATTTAAAAATTATTAAATATAATAGGTTTTCTCAATTTTAACCATTAAATGGTATGCAATGGGTGCACCTTTAAGACCTCAAAAACTTGAGAGTATGATTGAATTTCTATATTTAGAATAAAATATTCAACTTCTCCAATGATACGAATAAATAAAAAATCTTTATCTTTTTTTCTAACAGAATTATTTTTTAATAAATTGAATTATATTTATAAAATCAATTTAAAGGATCTATGTAAAAGATAAATGTCTATCTTGTTATAATATATATGAATAGAAAGGCAAAATCTAGATGTAAAACTTGACTAACTTGACATAAAAAGGAGTATCAACAATCATACATCACATTAGCTAGATATTTGTCTTATTCACTATTTTTAGTATTCATTTTTGATAACTTCACTAAAACTAATCTTTTTTAATACAGGTTTAATACCTATGGAAATAGGCAATCTTCATAAGCTTGAGATCTTAGAATTGTCAAATAACAAGTTAAGCGGTTCTATATCATTGAACATTTTTAATATTTCAACTTTACAATTCTTACATCTTGAAAGAAATTTTATATCTGGCAATCTTCCATCAAATTTTGAGAATCTCACTAGTTTCTTCGAACTATCCTTGGGAGAAAACATGTTGATAGGATCAATTCCAAAAGCAATCGGTGGCTTATTAGATCTTCAATATTGGATCTTCAAGGCAATGAGCTACATGGCCTAATCATCAATGAGGTTTGTGAAATCATAAAGCTTATCTACTTATCTTTAAGTAGAAACAAGTTTTCTAGAGGAATACCCTCCTGTTTAGCAAATGTTACCTCTTTACGAGACCTTTACTTGGACTCTAATAAGTTAATTTCAGAAATACCCCCTTCCTTTTGGAATTTGAAGGATATATTGAGGGTAAACTTATCTTCCAATATTGTAGTTGGAAATGTATCATTGAGGATTGAAAACTTAAATGCTCTTGAATTACTAGATCTGTCAAGAAATCATATTTCAGGCTTTATTCCAACAACTCTAGGTGGCTTGAAGAATTTGCAAGATCTATCCCTAGCACATAACAATTTGCAAGGAAATATTCCTGAATCATTCGGAAATATGTTGAGCTTAGTAAAATTGGACCTTTCTGAGAATGATTTGTCTAGGCAGATTCCTAAATCTTTGGAGTTCCTTAGTGCTCTTAAGTATGTCAATCTCTCCTATAATGAACTCCAAGGAGAGATTCCAAGTGGAGGAGTTTTTAAAAATTTGACTCTTGAATCTTTTATGATGAATCAAGCTTTTTGTGGCAAGCTGCAACTCAAAGTGTCTCCTTGCAAAAAAAGAAACAAGAAAAAGATCAATGACAATATTGCTTTTATTGAAATGCATATTACCCATAGTTGTGTCAATAATTTTGATTGTCTCAGGCCTTATCCTTTTAAGGCATAAACGATGACAAAATTCAAGGGGTCTAGTTGAAAGGAATTTATCAATTTTAGGAGTGCCTTAAAGAATTTCTTATTTTGAAATCCAAGAAGCAACCAATGGATTTGATGAGAGTAACATACTTGGAAGGGGTAGTTATGGTTCTGTGTTCAAAGGAAAACTTTCCAGTGGAATGATCATTGCAATTAAGATCTTCAAATTTGATTCACAGGTAATGTTAAGGAGTTTTGAAAAAGAATGTGACATGTTGTGTAATGCATGCCATCACAATTTGGTGAAGGTTATAAGCTATTGTTCAAATGTTGATTTCAAATCTCTGGTGATAGAATTCATGCCCAATGGAAGCCTTGAAAAATGGTTATATTCTCACAACTATTTTTTAGGTTTTCTTCAAAGGTTGAATATAATGATAAATGTAGCAACTGCTTTGGAATATCCCTATCATGGGTTGTTAACACCAATTGTTCATTGTGATTTGAAGCCTAGCAACATTTTAATGGATGATGAAATGGTTGCTCATGTTAGTGACTTTGGAATTTCCAAGCTTTTAGATAAAGAGGAATCTAAGACAAACACAGAGACAATACCTACTATTGGCTATGTGGCACCTGGTAATTATTCTAAACATAATGTCTCAATTTTTTCTTCTTCTTTTGCATTCTAACAACATATATCTTTAACATATTATATTCATAAAGGCTTATTACATATATTGTTACTAATTATTCAGATTAGCAATATTATATAAAATTAGTGCATGGAAAATTAATTAATATTTATGATAGATACTACATGACTTCTTAATAAACATATTAATGTTATTGATTTGATTCGATTATTAAATATGTAGTTTAATTGATAAACTACAATTTATCAAAGTTATCATTGTCTAAAACTTGGTCCCTTAATTCTTCTATAGAGAGAAATGTTCTTGGATATTTCCTTCTAATTTGTTCATGAGATAGGCTCTTCTATTCAAATAGAAAATGAAAGAGCTATTTTATGAATTTAGCAATCGTTGAATGTAGTTTCATTTGATCATTTTATATGCATATAAGATTACTAAACTAATTAACATTATAACCTTAAGATGAATGTGTATTTTGAAATGTCTGTGCATGGGGTGTGCATGCATGTATTCTTGGATATGGGGGCTAGGAGGGTGTGTGTCTTTGCTTCTTCTACATAAAAATTCTTTCGCTTATGATCATAAAATTTTCCTATCAATCTTGAGGGTTAATAAAAGTATACATTTAAAAAATTCAAAGACTACCACCAGGAAGCACAACATAACTCATTTCTCAATTCCTTGTTATCGCATCTACTCTAAATGACTAAGTGAATAGTCTTATTCAGTCATTAGTTTTATTTTATTACTTGAATTCAATTATATACAGAGTATGGATCTTTTGGAATTGTTTCAACAAAAGTATATGTGTATAGCTATGGAATTATGCTATTAGAGGTGTTTACAAGAAAAAGGCCCACAGAAGATATGTTTGTCAAAGGATTGAACTTGAAAAGCTAGGTAAGTGAGTCAATGCCACATGCAATAATTCAAGTCATGGATTCCAATTTATTAGGAGGAGATGAACATCATATAAAAAATATATTGGCATCTACATCCTCTATTCTTGAATTGGCCTTGAATTGTTGCACTGATCTTCCAGAAGCATGTGGCAATATGATTGATGTTGTAGTATCATTAAACAAGATCAAGGGCATGTTCATGCATAGGCAAGCAGCATCATGTCTAAATTAACATTAAGTTTCTTACAATTTGTGTGGTTAATTGTTCCACTTTTTTTATTATCTACTTTTAGAATATGTTGGACCCATTATTTGTTATATATATGTGTTCTTATTTTTACCCAAACATAAAAGTATAAACCACTCAGTTGCTTTTCTTCTCTCCTTTCCTCTTACCATAAACATTCTATAGAGTCTCTCAAATTTCTTCTTCCCTCAATTATTTTCTTCCTTAAAATAATAATTAAAAAAAGGCACATGGTATATAATAGCGTACAACTTTTATCACGAGTTGGAGAGTGATCATTTAAACTTTATATAATGCCAATGAAACTCCATTTCCTTGTACACTTTTGCAATAGTATGTTGTAAGAAGCTTGAACCCAAAACCATCTGTACTATACTATATGTTCTTAGTTATTAAACAAAAAACTTTAATTGGCCATAATCTTTCACTTATCACATTACACAGTGTCCAATCGTAAAAATCTAGGTGTTTATTTTCATCCAAGCATAAAATATGTACCCTATCACGATCACCCTTCTCAATCAATAAAATTAACATAGAACGCAGGGGAAGAACAGGGAAAATATCATTGTATTGGCCTCCTCAAAGATAATGAAATTAACAGCCACAATTATTCAGTCTCATAGCAGATTACAACTACAAATAAATCAGCAACTATAGTAGTAAATTTCACAAAATTCTCCGTTCCCTTTCTCACTCCCTTTTTTTTTTTTTTTTGCCTTATATTCTCATTCCCAAGCTCTAAGTGATTTCCATCGATTCAAGGCCATTTTGTAAAGCTTTGGGCCCATGATATCCATTAGCCCCATTCATGACATACTTTTGAGTGTATAGGTGGATTCATGCTAAGTTAAAAAATATGAATAAAATAAAAAGGGAACAGTGAAAAAAGTCAATAATTATCAATCATTTTTTAAGCGAAAGAGCACTAGTGTAGGTTTGTGCTTGATGCCGAGCAGGCTTTTCTTGTTTACAATATATAATCCTTTGTTTTTCCTGCCAAGCAAAGTAGACATAATTTGTGAAGACACAACATCATGAAGAAACATGAAATAGAAGCTTCACACGTGTTTTTGACCATCCTTCACCTTCTTGTTGTAAGGTGGTGAATGATGAAAGGATGAATTGATTTGTTTGGGATGTGGCTCTGTTCTCTTGTGTTTACTCTTGATTGTATCATTCCTGCAGTTTAATTATATATAGTTATATCCTTGTTTATTAAAAAAAAAACAAAGTTTCATACATGTGAAGTTGTTTCACTCCATTTTTCACAATAAAAGCAAACAAAGGTCATACAGAGTGAGATAAATAAAAACAAATAAAAGTTATAATATTGTCGTGTGAAGTAGAAACCCATAATAGTGGCTAGAGCACTATTACATCCGTCCTTGAGTACCGCAAGAAATGAGATTGAGATAGTGTTTGGGATTTTTTTTGGGGAAGCTCTTTGTGAAGTGATATAAAAGGAATTCATGAAAAAATCCCTCCGTATCTCTCAAGCACCCATTTTTGAATAGCACAAAAAATCAAAATTCAATTAGCAATATATATATATATGGACATACGTGAAGAAAATGAAGTTGATTAGAAAAGAAAATGACGCGTAGTTACTGAAGTCAGAAAAATGGAGTGAATTATTGTTTGGTAATGAAGCGTCAAGTAGCAAGCTAGTTCATTTTTTTTTTAATTAGGCAAATCAATCTAGGGCTACTTTGGTTCAGCTGTTTTTTCATAAAAAAGATAATTAATCTTTTAGAAAAATCATTTTTTATTTTATGATATTGTTTAAGCTTTTAAAAATAATCATAATCTAAAAAAAATGGATTTCTAATTATTTTTTAGGAACTACACTGAACAGCTTTTTAACATAATTTGATGGGTAGATGAGAGAAAATGCCATAAAAATCCGGAGATATACAAAAATATCATAAAAATTTAAAATAATTAAATAATAAATTATTTTTATAAAACATAAATCTGTAAAGATACCATAAAATAACTAACTAATAATTATTTTTTTATTACTGTAGCTAAACATAAAATAATTTTTTTTGGAAAAATCTCTACAAAATAAGAGCCCATTTGTTTTAGCTTATATGAAAATAACTTATTTTTTGAAAAAAAAAACCTATTTTGTGAATTTTTATAATGTTTGTTTCAACTTTTGAAAATAATCAGAATCTATAAAAGAAAGTATATTTTATTTCTGATTATTTTAAAAAGCTACATTGAGTAGCTTCTAAAAATAATATAATGTTGTAAATCAAAGAGAGTATTTTAAAGAGGCAGGATACATGAAGACATCATAAAATTTTAAAACAATATAATAATAAATTATGTTTATGAAGCAAAATCAAGGAACATATCATAAAATTTAAAAATAACTAACTAATAATTACTTTTATTATTGTAACCAAACATAAAAGAATGTTTACTTTTTATAAAATCTCTACAAGATAAATTTCTTTTTATAAAACCTCTAAACTATCTAAACATCACTTATTTTTTAACATTAAACAAATGGTCCTATATCTCTTTTTTATAAAATCTCTAAATTATATAAAAATAACTTATTTTTTAATCTTAAACAAATGGGCCCTAATTGCTTGTTTAAATGTTAGCAACACATTATGCTGCACAAATGAAGTACGTGAATAAGATACGATATGTATATGATATGTTTGTGATTTTATTTAAAACAAAATATAGGATTTCAATATGTATCTGATATGTGCACATATATGTATAAAAAAATACATAAAAAGCATTAAAAACATAATTTCAATTAAGAAAATATCCAAACTAGTATATTTATATAGTCCTTTATAGTATGGAAAATAAAATATAATTATTAATTGTTATTTTATTATATGTTAACCTAATTGCCTACTACCAGCTAGTCCCTACTACTTGTTCTCTACATAGGGTTTCTATGCCAAATGATGCCATTCCTACTATAGTTAACAAAAATATAATTTTTATCTTTTTATTATATATATCTAAAATTTATTTCATAGGAAAAACTAATATTTGAATTTAAAAAAATCAAAAAATATATTAGGAACCAAAAAGATTAATACCACAATATCCAACAAAATTTAATTTTTTAAAATAGCTTTAAAGCATCAGTTTTGAAGTATCGACTTGTAATATAGAAGTATCAGAGATATATTGACAATTTAAATTTTATTACAATTAAAAAGTAATATTTTGATACTCTACAAGTAAGTATTGAATAAGTGTTGGCAATATCGATATCGGATATAACAAATTACAAACTTACAATTATACTCCATCCTGCCCTTAATATAATAAGATAAAGTTTAAAAGCATTTTTTTGATCTTTAATATAAGATGAAGTTAGAGTAATTAATTTTGTCCAAATTTACCCATGGTTTATTTATTGTTACTTGAATTCCTAAACAACAATTTATTATAGTTATTAATTGAAAAGAAAGGTAAAATTGGAATAACAAATAAATATTAAAAATTTACAAATTATTAATATATGATTATATTTTAAGTTTTCTATGATTTCAGGATTGAAAGTTATTTATGTATTTAATTTACATAGATTATATGTGACCATGCGTATCTCTACAAGAATTCCCCTACAAAAGATATCTATATACTAATTTTCATGGAGGCCCATTTATTTCAGCTTATTTTATAAAAAAATCACTTATTTTCTAAAAAAAATTTATTTCGTGAGTTTTTATGATGTTTTTTTAAACTTTTGAAAATAATTAGAGTCTAAAAAACATAAATTTCTAATTATTTTAAAAAGATACTTTTAGTAGTTTCTAAAAATAATATGTGATATATGAGGGATAATGTTTTAAAAAGGTCGGATACACAAAGATTTTATAAAATTTTAAAATAAGTAAATAATAAATTATTTTTATAAAATAAAAAATTAAAGAAGATATCATAACATTTAAAAATAACTAAGTAATAATCACTTTTTAATTATTGTTATCAAACATAAAATGATTTATTTTTTTATAACATCTCTACCAAACAAATCTCTTTTTATAAAATCTCTAAACTATTTAAAAATAACTTATTTTTTAATCTTAAACAAATGGGCCCTAAAACTGTGATAGTATGAATGCAAATCCCACCAAAGTTTCTTTTCCCTTTTCATGTGTGTGTAAGAGCCTCGACCCCAGAGAATAAACACCAAGTGATCTCTCTTTCATCTCAAAAAATTCTAATTTGAAAGGCATCACATATACAAAAAAATAAATAAAATAACTTATTAACTTAATTAATTATAAAAACACATAATAACATGGTCAATGAACTTGCAAAGCATTGGCAAATTTGCAAGTACTCTATAATCAACCAAGAAGTGCCAAGGATCAAGGTTTACTAATTGAGACTCCCTTACTCTATCACGCCCTAAAAATAAGGGGTGATTAGTACAAGACGTGAACCAAAACACATCCCTCAATCCTTAAATCAAGAAATTGTTCCATTTCTAAAACATAATTATATTTGTAGTGGAATTATGACACCCTTGATAATTCTAAGAGTTAATGAGCAAATAGGACCTTGAACTCTTGCTTGAAAATTGCCCTAGACTCTGAACTCTTAAAATATACAAAATAAACTTGAAACTTTTAAATTCATAGCAAAATAAACCTTGACCATTAACTTTTTTAACACATTTATTGTCCGCTAGGGTACTGTAATAGTCAGGGTTAAATTCATAGGAAAATAAACCCTGAACCATACTTGCGTGGATAGCAACAGTGTTAAAAAGTTAACATTCAAGGTTTATTTTGCTATGAATTTAAACCTTTAGGGTTTATTTTGCATATTTTAAGAGTTTAGGGTCCAAGGCAATTTTTGAGTAATAGTTTAAGGTCCTATTTGCTCATTAGCCCTAATTCTAATTCAAACAAAAACTTTAATATTTTTTTAGAAATTTCAGCAAAACCTCCACTGTAAATAGGACCTTCTAAAAATTCTACAACATAATGTCTCAAACAAAATATCATAACAATTATGAGCTCAACTCCTTTAAGCCTGTAGACTGGGTATATAACAAAATAAGGACTTTAGTTATAGCTTATGTGGAACGCCTAGAATTAAATTTATAAAATACAATTTCATGACCTAAATTTTATAGCAAACGAAAGCTTAATCCACAGCTTCTTCATTTCCATTAAATAATAAACCGTTCATTTATCAATAGAAGGTTCATCATCACCTAAAGTATCTGAGACCAAAGATAAATTTTCAATGAATAACATCCCAATTTAAATTTAAAGAAGGTAAAAGAAGAGAACCTTTATGAAACAATTAATATTTCAAAGAAAAAAATAGTCATTAACATAATATAGACACATATTGCAGAGTTTGAACAATCACATGTAAATATGTAAACCAAGTGCGCGCGCATGCACGTGTGTATAATTATAGATGATTTAACTTCCAAATTGCAACCTTTGCTTTTAACAATTGAAATTTATATAATTCACCTTGTAAAATTCAAACTCAATCAAGAAAACAACTAATTAAACAAACCAATTTTAGAGAAAATAAGTTTCAAAACTCATGTTTTGTGAGACTTTGTCAGAATGATTAACGAGTATGGACTTAATTTGCAGTATTTTTTTCTGAGAATACACCCAATCATGTTCGAGATTCGCTGCATGGATCCCTTGGAATTGTTGAGGTTGATGATCTAGGAAAATATCTTGGCATTTATAGTATCTGGGGAAAGACCAAAACTCAAGCACTGGCCTATGTCAAAGAGAAAGTTAGTAGGAAAGTCTTTGTTGGGAGAAAACAGCATCTATCACAAGTATGAAGGGAAACCATGATCAAAGCTATTATTAACACCATTCAACGTACCTAACGACTTGCTTCTAGTTTCCTGTTGAGACCTACAAAGAGTTAGATAGTCTCATATCCTAATTCTAGTAGAATGATAATGCTATAGGTAACAAACTTTTCATTGGGTGGCCTAGTCTAAAAGTTGCGATAGTGGGATAGGATTCAAAGATTTTGTCAACTATAATAATGCTTTACTTGTTAAATCAGTATCGCGACTGATTTATAGTTCAACTGAGCTAGGGGATGCAACCTTGAAGGCTATTTATCTTCCTAAATACCATTTTCTTGATGAAAAAAAGGGGATCTAAGGCATCTTGGTGCTGGTCTAGTTTGTTAGCTGGAAGGGAATTTACGAAAGATGATTTATGTTGGCAAATTGGTGATGGAAATTCTATTCATATATGGAACGATCAATAGGTCCCTTTTCTTCCCCATAATATGCTTCCTACAGTGAACCTAGAGCTGCACAAATCAGATACACATGTTTCTACTTTAATTGAAGATAGACATTTTAATTTAACAAGCATAATGTCCCTTTTTGATGATAACATAGCTAATGTGATAGCTTGGATTTCCCTCCCTCAAAATGACAATGCAGACAAAATATTTTGGAGTGGTGTCAAAAATGGAATCTATATTATGAAGGCAGGCTGTATTCAAGCTATGCAAAGAAAATAAGGAGTAAAAAAAAAAAAGGCTTGTACTTCTTTTTGTATCGCAAAGTATATGTGGAACAATGTTTGGAAAACAATAACTTTGCCTAGAATTTTGCATTTTCTATGGAGATGTCTGTGAAAGGCCTTAGCCACAAATGAGGTGCTTACATGCAAACATAGAGGATACTAGGTGCTTTGCCCACTGTGTACAACTAAACTTGAAACCATTTAGCACTTGCTTTTCCTATGCCTGTGGGTTTATTGCATCTAATTTTGTTGTGGACTATCTTTCAAATTTTAACCTTCTAACATCATAGCTTTGAACAATGGTATGAGAACTTCTTACCTCCTAGAAGCCTCCTATATGATTTTGATATTTCATTAATTTGTTAAACTCTTTAGTTGATTTATAAGGAAAGAAATGATTTGATCTTTAAACATAGTCTACTAGACCCTTGTTCCATCATTAAAGCTTCATGTCAGGCTGCTTTGGAATTTTGGGACACCAACTAGCTTTTTAAACAAGATTTAACACCTATTATTGATCATATTGATCATGTGGTCACCTATTGGCAAGCTCCCCCTCTTGGGACTATGAAAATTAATTGCAATAGGGCTTTCTCAATGAAAATTAGAGGATGCTGCCATTGGAATTCTAACACGGGATGATAGAGGTCGCTTCCTTTAGGGCTTTATAGATAAAGTCAAGTTGATCTTAGCATTCATGACAATAGCCCTTGCTCTCCAACGAGCTCCCTTGTCTCTTGCATTCAAAGAGGCCAACCTAAATTCGGTGAATGTATGTGTAGAGGGATTATTGAAGATATTACTTCTTTTTTGGTGTCCAATGCTGGGCTTTCACTTTCCTTCATTTGTGGACTCGATAGGGTGGGTGGGCACTCCATTACTTTCTTTGTCGCTTTTACTAGTAAAGGATGCTTCAAGTTACTATTCATCTTATATAGACTAATGCACACCTGATATTCAGTGTGGTGTTGGTTGAATTCTTCTTTAATTTGATTTCTTTCGCTGTTTGTATGTTTTTTCTTGCTTTCTTCTTTGGCTTTTGTCTTGGTTTTAGCCTTAACTCTTGTATTGTTGCTATATGTTGGGAATATATTCAGCATATTTAATCCCAAAAAAAAAAAAAGATAGGAACCATTTCCTTTCCAAATAAAAAATCTTGTAGTGAACAAAGATAGGCAGCAGTTAGTTCTACACAAACAAATAACAACTAAATATTAAAAACCAACACATTATAAATATATGATTATTTTTTAAGTTTTCTATGAATATGATTGTAGGATTGAAAGTTATTTATGGATTTAATTTTCCCAGGTTATATGTGAACATGAATGTCTCTTCGAGAATTCCCACCAAAATTTCAGTACACTTTTCATGTGTGTGTGTGTGAGCCTCGACCCTAAGAGAACAAACACTATGTAATCTTTCCTTTATCTCAAAAAGTTCTCATTTGAATGGTATCACATATACAAAAACATAAATAAAATAACTTATTAGCTTAATTAATTATAAAAGCATGTAATAACATGGTTAATGAACTTACAATGGCAAATTTGCAAGTACTCTTTTTGATTCTTAATATAAGTAGGGCAATATTAGGTCGATGTAGTGTGCCATAAAATATCATAAGTTCACATCTCCCTAATGGCAAACTCCCATCAAGATCATGCTTCCTATCCTTTTCTACCTTCCCTAAGTATTAACTACTTCAATACTTTAAGGTGGTATAACACTTCTCTTTCCTCCCTTAAGCAGTTCCTTATTCTATCTAAGGTACCTAACCTAGTTACACTTAAATGCAACTTTCTGTCTGTATAATCACAATGGATGCTAAAAATTCTTATTTTCATAAAGGATATAATTATTAAATAGATAGGAAACATAGATACATTATTATCAAAGTAAAACCCCATAGACCCTTCTAGAATATATTTGTTTGTATTTGATTGTTTAAAACATGTAATACATGCTAGACAGTATTATCTACTCAAAAATAGCTAAACAAAGCAACAAGAAATATAAATTTTCTTGTTACTTCAACCCTTTTAGTACCAAAAGAGTTTCACTTGTACAAAAAAATAAGACTTGGCTTGTTCCTTAACATTAAAGCAAGTTCCACTAATAATTCCTACAACACATAAGTGATCCACATCACTTATCACAGCAAAAAGCATAAAAAGGCTAGAACTCATACCACACAACTTGGATCAAAACCCCATAACGCATCCCAATGGTTGAAATATCAAACAAACAATTTACATTGCATCATTTAACTACTAAAATTATTTGTAAGCCTGCATTAGACTAATATCCAAACCATACATCTTTTATTCAATCAAAAACCAACACTTAGTATTACTAACTTTTACAATTAGCCATTATAATAATAACAAAAGATTAATTTAAACCTTATTGGCTTCAAATAGCACAATTATAACCAAATAAATAGGCTTAAACTATTGAAGACAAAAACCCAATCTCCTATGATCTAAATTTTGTCCAAAACACCCTTTTTTCATCAAATTGCTCACTCAAAGTAACCAAGCACCATACAGAAACTCAAACAACATCCTTAGGACCCAACAAAACCAAAGCTTACATTAACAAAGCTATTGGGATCAAAATTCAAAAATTTCTCCTTTCAAAAATTGAAGAAAACCTAAGAGGAAAGGAAAAAGATTGAAGTAGGGAGTTTACCCAACTCATAACCAAGCTTACAACCACCGTAAAACCTCGAGGATCTGAGCTCTAGCTTCGTTCTCTCCTTCCTCTTCTCCACAATCACTCTCTTCTTCTCTCTTGGTCTCTCTCTCTTCTCTCATGATCTCTTCCCTTTTCTATGTTTCTTTGTTCCTTCCTTTCTTTTTAATAGCTGAATTCCCTATTGTTTTTAAGCATGCCCATAAACTAAGAGCATTTGGTCCAATCTTTAATTCCCTGTTCAGTTCTAATCTGACCCAAACCTTGACCAAATTATTCTAGGGTTTAAAAAAGCCCACAAACTCATCCCATTTCGCTATCAACTTAATGAAATTTCATATTATTAATACTTAATTTTTTTTAAATTTAATATATTTATTTTTTAAAATCCAGCTTTAAAAAAATTTTAGGATGTTACATCTGTTTCCAAAATTCTACCACTTTTTTTCTTTCTCTTATGCATTGTCTTTTGTCTTCTCTTCCTCTCAATGTCAATGATGTTCTTCTTCCTCTCCTCCGGTCTGCTTCTATCTGTCCCATCTTGCCAACTCTCCAAGGTTGCCCCCACCCCTTCTTTTTCACCTACTGATGCATACCCTTCTCATCCTCACAGCTTAGAAGAATCCTCTTGAGCTGCAATTTGTCAAGCCGTTGGAGCTATGCTTCCATTTAATTTTCAACCATAACTGCTCAGCAAAACCAATTCATATTCTTGACACTTGCCATTTTCTTTCTCTAGAGAAACTTCGTACTTCATCTAGTTGAGATTCTTATGTTTTGAGAAGAGAGCTTCATTGCAGAGACCAAATTTGGAGCAAGATTTGATTTTGACTGGTCGGTTGGACGATAATAAAAGGGTCTCAAGGGGAGAGGAAGAGAAAGATGGGGTCAATACTACAAAAATCAGATAGTAGCACACATTTGGTAGCAATTAAAATAGAAACATTTCTAAAATGAAGCCAAAAAACATTAGGTGGCATTTCCAACTTGAAATGCTTCGGCTAGTCAAATACTTTTTATTTATAATTTTTAAAAACGAACAAGAGGTAACGATTTTGACAAGAAATCTCACAGCTTGATGTTTTTGAACAATTAGGTAGTATTTCAATGTTAGGAGTAATAATTAAGAAAATTATAGAAATAAAAAACCCTCAAAAGTAAATTTGAAACCTTTAAGTATTTTTACCTAATTGTTTAAAAAGATTACTCAAGAAAATATTAAATTCCTCAAATTCAACTTGACCATTTATAATTAGACAAGTTAAGAGTAAAAAAAAATCAATTAAAACTTTATCAGGACTATTTAAAAGTTAATTGAGAGTTATTTCTAAAAAATTAAATAACCCTCACCTGAGGATTATTTCAAAAATAATTAAATAATCCTCAGGTGGCTTTCCCCAAGGAAATAGCACCTAAGAGTCTTATTAAAAACTACTAATTAAAATAATTATAGTTATTATAATTATTATAATTGTATTGTTTATAATGATATTATTATTATATTAAAAATAATTAGATCATAATTAATAATAAAAATTATATTAAAAAATAATAATATGCATTATAATTATATTAATTATTTTATTCATAGTAATGTTAATAATAAATATTATATATATAATTATTAATAAATATAATGTTTTTGTTATAATAATTGTCATATATATTGTGAGATGTGGTTTTAGAATAAATATGAGTTTTGATTAACGGTAATTTAGTATTTTTAAAATTAAAATTTTGGCATTCGGTCTTTCTAAATCATTACTATTTTTAAGATCCTTTACAATAAAAATTATTTTCTTCATTATAATTTAAGGGTTGTTTCAAAAATAATTAAATAACCCTCACCAGGAAAACGCTACCTAAGGGTCTTATTTTTCAAAAATATACTAATACAAATAAGTATATTATTTACCTTAATTATAATAATAATCATTATAGTTACTATAATTATTATTTATAATAAAAATATTAATAATAATGACAATAATATTAAAACAATAATAATATTCATTATTATTACTACTAAGAATTATGTTAATAATACAAATAATATTAATATTATAATAAATATTATATTTATTATTATTATTAATTTTTCAAATTAAGAAATTAAATGCCTAAATTTATTCAAAAAAAAAAATCCTCAGCCACCTCTTTTTAACTGAGGTTTAATTAAATAAAAAGGAAACATTCAGGCTTATCTAAGAGTTTAAGAGCTAGCGTTTAAAAAATCGTTATCTCTAGAAGTCTATTATCTATGTCCCCTCTTTTTAACGTATTCCAGAGGTGATGTATACATGGTTAAATGCTACAGCTTATTTTTATATTTTTTAAACTTATTCAAGAGGTGGCACTTACATGCTACAACTTGGTTTTATTTTTATTTTCTTAATTCCATTGAGACTAGGGTTAATAACAGCTCCTGGGACTCCTTCCGCTGCTTCGTTCTTCCATTTCCTGGTTCGAATCAACAAAGCGCCATCACCTGTTTCTTTGGGCTAGCTCCTCCATCTTCTTGCGCGTCGTCAAGCATCCATTGGGAGCTTTTCGTGGCTTCTTCATTTGCTTTTGGGTTTTGTCGAATCAGGGATCCCTGGAAGAAAATGCTAGCAGTCGGATATCACTATCAAGTAAAACCATATATTTTCATCTTATTTCTTTTCACTTCATCCCATAATATACATGGGATCTATTGGTTTTGACTGACGCATAGCTTAATTATTACCAATTAAGCTTAATATTCTATGCACATAATATTAATATTCTGAAAAGAGATAATCATTCCATTCATTTCTTGTCTTCTACTCCAAGTTGAATTTGAATATCCATTTTGGAAACTTGTCAAATAAATTTTGTCCTTGTTACACCTTTTCGTTTACTGATTTGTTTAATTCTTTTGCGGCCAAAGTACTTGTCCAGCTTCATCAGGTAATAAAACCTTCTAATAATTTCTTGATTATTTCTTATCTTACTATGTCATTTAAATCTCCATTTACGTCTTGCAGAAAGCAGTCAGAAACTGGTGTCGATATAGTTACAGGAACTCGTTATGTTAATGGCAGTGGTGTGCATGGATGAAATCTTATGTGACAATTAATAGGCAGAGGGGTAAATGTTCTTGCACAAACCTTTTTATGGCCTGGTGTTTCTCATTTGCCAGGATCTTTTAGGTATAAAACTTGATAACTGCTATTATATAAGTATGACATTGGAGTGGCCCCGTTGTTTTTATGGATTTCTAAGAATGAGGTTGTTAGAAAATAGAAATGGAAGATAATTAAGAATTAATTAATGCTACGGAGAAACATTAGTTAAGAAAATTGAAAGAGATGACATGTAATTGGAAAAAGGGACTTTCTCATGTTGATCTACACCTTCTAATGGTAAAGTTGGGTGATGTTTGCATGCTCTTCCATTGTAGGTGTGTAGCTGAAAAAACCTACCAATTTCTATTTAATTTAACTCATATTTCTCAGGCTTAACCAAGTTGGAATCTCTCAATTATGAATTTGAATATCGTAAATAAGAAATATGTCTAAGAAGCTTTGGTTTCCATTTTGGGGGCCTACCAAACTTAAATTCTGATTAATTGATGAGAGTATCAAAGATTAAACAATTCCTTCAAATATATATATTGTTTCAATTAACAGAGTGCATAGTCTACTCTTCTATAATGACCTGAAAATTTAAATAGTATTACCTCAACAATATGAAAATATAAGATGATGAGTTTGAGGCAATTAAACATTTTTTATCATGCTAAAAATTTAATTTTTCTATAGACAAAACAAAGAGAACTTGAAGACTAATAGAAGCAAATAAATGACATGCAAGGCCCAAAATATTTTGAAACACTTCTGCATGCCCAAAGGCCTCAATCACCTTTGCCAAAGCCAGACCACCAGTGGGCCGACCCCTACTGTGCCGGATGCTGGACCTCTATCATTGGCTGCCGGAGCAATTGGTCAATGGCTGGTCAACTCAAGAGATATAGAAATATATATAATATATATATATATATCTTTTTTCAAGCATTTATGTGACTTGCTATTAATCATGGACATGTTCTTTATATTTGAACAATCACTTGTAAATGGTCAGACATAACTTGTTATACATAAAAAACAGTTGCAAATTTATAAAAGCAAGCTTGTTCAATTTTTTTAACAATTTGTTCCTTCAATGTTGAGATATTATAAATATTATAAATATTATGCTAGATAAAAAACTATAAGTTGTAAATTTATTTTTCAATCATTTTAATGGTTTTGATTAATCATGAACATATTATTGTTCATATCTAGATAATCACTTGTAAATATTTGAACATCATTTGTTCATACATAAAAAAGTTATAAATTTTTAAAACCCAGCATGTTTGATTGTTTTTTTAACAACTTGTTCTTTCAACATTAACATGTTATCATTATTATCTTAATATATATATATATATGTTATAAATTTATTTTTCAAGCGTTTGCATTGTCTTTGGTTAATCATGGAAAGATTGTTATTCATATCCAAATAATCACTTGTAAATATTTGAACATCACTTATTCATAGATAAAAAAGTTGCAAATTTTCAAAATCCAACTTGTTCAATTTTTTAACAACTTATTCTTTTAACATTTGCAGCTTATCAATATTAAGGTTAATATATATATATATATATATATGTTATAAATTTATCTTTTCAAGTATTTTCACGGGCTTTGATTAATCATGGATGCATTGCTGTTTGTATCCAAACAATCATTTGTGTGTGTCAACATTTTTTATGCATGACAAGTGATATTCAAATATTTACAAGTGATTGTTCAGATATGAACAGTAATATATTTATGATTAATCAAAACCTATGAAAATGCTTGAAAAATAAATTTACAACATATATATTTTTTATTTAGTATAATATTGATAATATGTTAATAATGAAGGAACAAGTTATTGAAAAAATTGAAGAAGCTCGCTTTTAAAAATTTACAACATTTTTTATGCATGAATAAGTTATGTTCAAATATTTATAAGTGATTATTTAGATATAAATAACAACACATCAATGTTTAAAAATAGTTTATAATATATATTATATTTTGCCACAAATAACCAAAGTTGTCCGCTAGATTAGTGGCAACATTTTTTTTTTAAACAGCCAATGGGTTAAGGGATCAAACCCTCCTTTAACCCCTTTCTTGGATTGACTAGCCATTGATCACTTGCCGACACTGAAGCAGTAGCGAAGGTGAGGATTTTTTTTTTTTTTTTGGGGGAATCAAGGGTATTTTAGTAATTAGACAAAAAATTAATTGCAATTGCAGAAGCATTACAAATTTTTTTGGGCCTTGCATGTGATTATTTCCTTTTGAGGGTCATGATTGAGAGTCTCCCTAATTTTTAATTGTATGATCGCTTTGACAACATAAGCTTGTTTAATTTTGTATACCAAAAAAAAAAGGCTTGTTTTTTTTTTTTGTTGGGCTGCTAGGATTCTTGGAGCAAACATGTTTAGTATTAGGGGCATATTTTATTTATATGCATATTTCTTTCTTTCTTTGGGTTTTTTTTTTTTTTTTTTGCGGGGGAATTTCGGGAGGCTATAAAACCAGTTCTTAATGCTTGCACCAGGAGTGTTGGAAATTTACACTCTAGCTCTTATAACTCACAATGTTAATAAGCGTATATATTCTAGAATGAAATAAGATAAATGGAAGTTTTTTATCCAAAAATAAAAGAAAAACAAAAAATGAAATGAAAAAAAAAATTTGAGGGAAGTGAACATGTGTCTTTTTTTCCCCTTCTCTAATAATAATAATATTATTACTATACTCATTGTGTGGCCAAAATGCACAGTCATATCATGCAAATGATATAAGAAAATTTATGTATATTCATTTTAGCAATGCCATAGATAAATTGAGGTTTTATAAATTGGGATGTTTTCATGTTTCAACTCACCAATTAAAAAAAGACACTAATTTTCATAAAAAAAATAGGTCGTTAATGGTGGGTGGAAGTAGATGAAAATCTATCTCTTATTATTCATAATTTTCTTATTAGTGGTAGCCTATCTTTGTTTCTTACTGGTTGCTTCTGATTGTATGTCTCTTCCTTTGGTTTCTGATTCTGTATTTGGGCCTTGGGACTCCATTATGCCAAAAAAAAAAAAAAGAAGAAGAAGAAGATGATGATGATAGATCTTTCATGCAAATAAACTGACAAAAAAAAGGCAGCTTATATACCTAGTGTTGAACAAATGCCACATTAATGATGTGGAGTTTTTGTTAGAATTTGAATATGCTACATATTCACTAACTATTATTATTTTTTTATTTTTATAATTTGATGAAAATAAGTGTTGTTACTTAAAAAGTTAGCAAAAATTAGATTAAGAATAATCAATGAAATACTTTTACACCAAAATAATTTTTCAATTCAATGATTTATAGGTATATTATATTGTCATGTTAAATGATAATCAAATCTATTATGTTTTTCATTGTTTTTGACTAGCAATCCATTATGTTTTATAAATGAGGAAATTTCCTATACGTTACGTAGCTTATTAATGTTATGGTTAAAGAAAAAGTCTTTTATATCATCTTTCTACTCACATGTCAAGTCAAGTCAACTTATGTATCGTTCGTAGTGTAGGGAAAGGGACACAAGAATATAGTCCTTCTTAAAAATAAAATAGCCCTTCTCAATTATTTTATTAAAAGAACAAACATTTATATTTTTTGTAATTATTGAGGTGAGATGAATGCTAATTATTTTACTAGTTAAAAATAAATTATTCTATATTTTGCAAAAAAAATCAAGTAATTAACAAATCATTTAAAATAATATAAAACTCAGAAAAAAAAAGACAAAACACAAACATAAAACGTATTTGCATTATCATTATTTTGAAAATAAAACACATATTGACTAAAGAGATGTAAATACATATTTGTTCAGATACTAGAATTATTACTTAATAATATTCTGAAAATATTTTGGCCAAAATAATTCTTCTTGTTAACAGGGAACGGATCCCATGCAGTGGATTTTGTTCAATGGCTAAGAAATGGGGCAATATTCAATATGTGTTTTATCCAGTAGATGGGAAGAGAGAGGTACATAAAAAGGCTTCTTATCTGCGAAGCATACAGTCAGGTTTATATGCTTAAAACATATAATCATGTTTATCCAAATTTAAAGTTTTTTATTTTTACTTTTCTTTTATATTTATTAAAGTAAAAATTTATAAAAATATAAAATTTTTTAATAGATCTGTTAATCACTAATTTAGATAGTACATATTTAATATAGATAGTCCAATTTAATATTAATTTTTAAAATTTTTTATAAATTAATTATTTAGATGCACTTTGGATAGACTAGATATAATATTAAATTTTCTTATAATTTTTAGGTTAAAGTATACCTTTAGTTCGTTAATTTTGCATAAGGTTTCATTTTGTTCCCCATGATTTCATAAAATATTTTTTAGTCCTTTAACTCTAACACTATTAGTTTCACACAAAAAAATCTTTACATTTAACTTTTAAAAAATTGATAAAACATCATCAAATGTTGACATATTAAATTTAATTATTTAAAATAACAATGATTGATACAAAAGATAATCATTTAAAACTAACAACGTTAGGGTTAAATGATAGAAAAGATATTTCATAGAATTAAGGGACTAACTTGAAACCTAATATAAAGTTAGAGGACCAAAAGTAAACTTTAGCCTAATTGTTATAAATTTTTAATTTGATAAATACAATATTAAATTTGTAAGTCTAGGAGTAAATTTGAGATAGTAAATTTATAAAAATTTTAATATTAAATTTGAACCATCCAAATTAAGTCTAGATTGTCCATATGGGTAATAAAATAGATTTATTAAAAAATTTATATTTATATTTTTTTAAAAAAATCATTTCATCCAAGAAACAAAAAAATTACAATACAATGGCTGCGAGAATTGAATTAATCATGGAGTTTAAAAGAGTTAAAATCATAGTGGATAAAACATGATTGTGTGATTTGCAAATAAGAAGCCATTTTATACACCTCTCCGTAACCAC